TTTTTTTTGGTTGCAGCCGTCATTGTTGTTTGGCAGGCCCAGGCTGGATTCGAACCCGCCAGCTCAGGTGTATGTGGCTGGTGCCTTAGCTGCTTGAGCCACAGGTGCCGAGCCCCAGTTGCATTTCTTAAGAGACAAGGTCTTCTCATTCTTTTGCAGTGCAGTGTTGCAATTATAGGATACAATAACCTCAAATGCCCCAGCTTAAGCAATTCTCCCACCTGAGTTTCCTGAGCAGTGGGGACCACAGATACACACCACCACACCTGGATGATTTTTTTTCTTTTCTCTTTTGGTAGAGATTGGGATCTTAATATGTTGCAGAGGCTGGTCTCAGACTCCTGGCCCTCAAGTAATCCTCTGACCTCAGCTTCCCAAAGGGCTGAGATTATAGTCATGAGCCACCATACCTGGCTCCATGGCCTTTTTATATGGCTTCAGACAGTGGTTTAAGACAACTAGAGAATCAAGGGCTAAGAAGAGAAAACTACCAGTTCATTGGATTTAAACATAAACAAGCCAAAAGCAGTCTGCTGTACTCACTCCCTTGGCCAACTAAATCACCTTTCCCTACCAGAAACCTCAGCATGTTATAGCATCCATCTTCTAACTCCTTTCTCTCTCTTCCAGAGTTCATGACTTTCCACTGATAAGTTAGTACATAGACTATTACTACTGAGTTTGTAGTTGTTAAATGAATGAATAAATAATGTTTAAAATGCCTTAATTTTGTATAGAAATTGTTGGTAGATAGGTAGATAATATGGTTATTTGGGAAACTGAAGGACTAGGAACATATATTTGTGATTTAATGTAACAGAACATGGCCAGGTTCAGAGGCTCACACCTGTAATCCCAGAACTCTGGGAGGCCAAGGCAGGAGGATCACTTGAGCCCAGGAGTTCAAGACCAGCTTAAGCAAGAACGAGATCCTGTCTCTACTAAAAATAAAAAATTAGCCAGTCATTATGGCACATGTTTGTAGTCCCATCTACTCTGGAGGCTGATGTAGGAGGATCACCTGAGTCCGGGAGTTGGAGACCAGTCTGAGCAAGAGTCCAGGAATTTGAGGTTGCTGTGAGCTATACTGATGCCTGGGCAACAGAGAGACTCTGTCTCAAAAAAATAAATAATAAAATAAAATAATGGAATATGAGATCCCACTACTTGAAAATTCTAGCCATTCATCACCTTTTTAGAAAGAATAAGATTTTAGTAATAGGGGATGCCTCCATCTTATTTCTACCTGTCAGGTAATACATAAATTTGGCCAGAGTGGTTTGGGGCAGGTGCTTTAATTGTTGCTTTCTATCACATGTGAGGGAGCTGCTCCCATTTTTAAAGACACTTGACATTTGAGAAGGAATTACTTGTGATCTGTGTAAGTCCCTAAGTTTATTACCTTTATAGCATAGAATTTTCTCTAAAACTAGCAGATATCACATAGTCATGTTGTGCTGTAAAGGTAAGACAGATAGTTAAGCAGTGACCAAGGGGGTGGCTTCCATTCACTAGTCTCCAGGGTAGGTATTCAAATCAATTTTTTTTTCTTTTTTTTTTTTTTGCAGTTTTTGGCCGGGGCTGGGTTTGAACCTGCCACCTCTGGCATTATGGGGCTGGTGCTCTACTCCTTTGAGCCACAGGCACCACCCTCAAAGCAAACTTATAATTCACAATTTCTTCCTCTATTTTTTTTTTTGGTAGGGACAGAGTCTCACTTTATCACCCTCAGTAGAGTGCCGTGGTGTCACACAACTCACAGCAACCTCCAACTCCTGGGCTTAGGCGATTCTCCTTCCTCAGCCTCCCTAGTAACTGGGACCCCAAGTGCCCACCACAACGCCTGGCTATTTTTTGTTTCAGTTTGGCCAGTGCCAGGTTTGAACCTGCCACCCTCAGTATATGGGGCTGGCGCCCCACCTACTGAGCCACAGGCACTGCCCCAATTTCTTCTTTTTTTTTTTTTTTGAGAAAGAGTCTCCATCTGTTGCCTGGACTGGAGTGCTATGGCCTCAGCCTACCCCACAGCAACTTCAAACTCCTGTGCTCAAGTGATCCTACCCCCTCAGCCTCCTAAATAGCTGGGACTATAGGCACTCAGCACACTTGGCTAATGTTTCTATTTTTTGGTAGAGATGGGGGTCTTGCTTTGCTTAGAGTTGTCTTTTACTCCTGAGCTCAAGTGATCCTCCCACCTTTGCCTCTCAGAGTGTTAGGATTACAGGTGTGAGCTACTTAACCTGGCCATAATTCAGAACATTTAAAATTCACACGTTACAGCTCTTTGGGCTGTCTTAAGAATATTCACAGCTATAATAAATATTAAGTGTGAGTGTAAAAGGTCTCTTGCAGTGATCAGAAGCACATTCTAAACAACATTCATCTTTCCCACTTCCCATATCTTCTACACTCCCTCCTCTCTTCCCAGATGAGAAGTCACCAGAGAGCACCATTGATAACAGGGTCACATTCCTCAGCTGTTTTGGGACAGAAGAGAGGTTGATATTTTTGCTTCATATTTGTAACCTTCCCCTCTACCCACCAAGCACGCACAAATTTGAAAGCTGCTTTGCTTTTTAGTGAAGAGGCTTTTCCTTTGATTTGAAAGATAATTTGATTTCTCTTTTTCTCTTTTCAGGTATGTGAGCTCCCTGAAAGTACAAAGCAATTGTTTCCACGTTCTGATCATTCAGAGATAAGAATGCTTGCCTTTGATTTGTTCACAGTGAAATGGAGCAGACAAGTCAACAGTTACAGTCTGTCCACTGTGTGTTCTAAAAGAGGTGAGTGTGTGGCACTTAACTCAACCTGGGAGAGCAAAGAATTAGGCAGTGCTTCCAAAAGGTGATTTTTGGAAAAACTGCATAGGCATTAGGTGAACAAGGAAGGGAAGGTCCCATTTTGGTTGCCTAGGAAGTTGTGGCTGGCTTATGATTATAAATGGTGCAAAAGATAGCGTCAAGTATGCGTACAACAGCTTTTGTCAGAGTGACAGCCTTATTTTTAGGTAATGTTTCTTGTTTTTCTTTTCTCTCCCTGCCCCTTTCTCCCTTAATTAGATGGAAAGGAAATATGAGGGGGCAGAATAATAGGTTTGCCAAGAAATAATGTGTATAGCTAATAACCCTGCCTCTGAAAATCATGCCCCTCCTTTGTTAAAACGCACAGTGGGAAGGCTTTAGTTTTGTTAGTTGAGTACCTTCCCAGTGAATGGATTACATTCCTGTTTCCAATCCAATCTGTTTTAATTTAAGGGCATCTTTTAATGATGTCCTTAATCTTTGAAGGAAGAGGCTTAGGAATGAGAATGGGAGTGACAGCAAGATTAGAATCCAAGTTCATAACACAAAAACATTTTTATTGTCTAAGTGATTATGGGTTGTTTGAATCAGCTGTAAACTGTTTACTTTGTATAATTCAAATAAATGATAGTTTAATCCCACAGATTTAAGTAAGGTAAAATAGAACAGAAAAACTGCTTCTGTTAAAGTCTGGGAAAGTAAAGACAAAGCAGTCAGTGAGTTGGGCTTAATTTTTTTTCTGGGACTGGCAATAGCAGAAAACAACCAGTGAAGTAGTCAGACATGATATGCTTGAAAAGAGCCAGCACTCTTCAGTAGCAATTCTAACATTTAGGGCAGTGGCTGTGCCCAGGTCATGGTCACATACTCTTTTCTAGGAGACTTCCTAGGGACAGAAAAGATGCTGACCTGGGGTCTTCTTTTTTTTTTTTTGAGACAAGAATCTCACGATGTCACCCTCAGTAGAGTGCTGTGGCATTATAGCTCACAGCAACCTCAAACTCTTGGGCTTAAGTGATTCTCTTGCTTCAGCCTCCCAAGTAGCTGGGACTATGGGTGCCTGCCACAACACCCAGCTATTTTTTTGTTGTAATTGTCTTTATTGTTTGGCAGGCCTGGGTTGGGTTCAAACCCGCCAGCTCTGGTGTATGTGGTTGGCACCCTAGCTACTAAACTACAGGCACCAAGCCCGGGGGTCTTCTTTTCAAATAAAAAAGTCTTATCTTGCATTGAGATTAACCATTGATTATAGTGAAGCAAACATAGGAAAGAATTCAAATCTCTTGAAGCTTAAAGTTATAAATGATCTGTCCTTTAATATCTTGGTATGTTGAACAGTGTTTTAAGAGTTGGACTTGGTCATGTTCTTGTGGAGACTGAGGAAACAGAGTCCTTGAAGTCAAGTGACTCTGCTTTTAGCCTCCTAAAGGAAAAGGTAGATAGAACAGGTCTTGTTTGCAAAATACATTCAAGACCTACTTATTTACCAACAGCAATCATATACTTTCCTTTGTCTTTCTATGGAAAATAGGAATAGTAAGTTCATGGACAAGAAAGACAGAGAGATATAGTGAACACATGAGAATCTTATTCTACTAATTGATGGGAAGGTGACTGGAAATTGGAGAAGGTGTTGCATTAAGTTGAGGAGAGGACTCTTCTTATAGTGCAGTCTTCATAGAGTCCAGAAAGTTTTCTGGTGGCTGAACCTTTTTGCATAAACACCATATAGTCTCATTAACAGAGTGCCTTGTCACAGCAAATTGCACTGTGAGCATCTTCCAGTTATGAGTTGTGTATGATACACACACACACACACATATATACTTTTTTTTTTTTTTTGAGACAGTGTCTCACTTTGTTGCATGGACATAAGGGCAGTAGTATGATCATAGCTCACTGCAGCTTCAATTCTTGGGCTCAAAGTGATCCTTCTGCCTCAGCCTCCCAAGTAACTGGGACTACAAGCACCACCATTACCTGGCTAATTTTTCTGTTTTCTGTGGAGACAAGGTTCATGAACTCCTGATCTCAAGCAGTCTTGCCTCGGCCTCCCAAAGTGCTAGGATTACAGGCTAGAGACATCACACCCAACCAGCAATGTGATTTTAACACCCATTTTGGAAGACTGGAAGTATTAAGAAAAAGGCCCCATTGCCCATGCATTTGCTCTGCTTGATACTGATGGTTAAGTACATGCTTCAGAAATATTAAATTAAATGTAAATATGTGATTGTATAGCATTTGAACCAGCAGGAAGTCTAATTTCTAAATAAAAGACAATTTAACCAGAAACCAATGTAATTTTATTTAACCAACTTTACAATTCTATCTAATAAGGGTGCCTTCAGTTCTGAATACTGTGTTCCGCATTACTAAACCCATGTAAGTTTAAGTCAAGATGCTGTGGCTATTTTCCATGCTCTCCTTCCCTGGTTAAGGTGGGGAGCCCTAAGCGCACGTTCATGACCTGCTCTCGAGTTAGGAAGTGACACAGTAAAGCTAAGGAAAGAATAGAGTTTGGTATCTTTTGTTTTAACTGCCCAATGTTGGGGGTTGTGCCTACAGTGGTCTAATTTTTAAAAATCTTTTTCTGTTTTGTTTTTTAACAGATTTATCAGCAGGTTGCAGGTGAACATGGCCTTGAGGTAAATCCTTCCCCTTGTCGAATTTAGTTTCAGCAGATTATTCATGGCATTTTAAAGAATTAGAATATTTCACAAAAAACAAAAGTTCCATTTAGTTCTGTTACTGACTTTCTTTTTTTCTAAATAAATGAGAAGGATGTTTCAACAAAGGTTCTTTATGTGGAATAACTGGGATGCTTGCTTATCTGCCTTATTTAGTGGATTTTAAATGTCAAAGATAGTTTTAGACAGTTTTTGGGGTCAAATAAAAATTTTATTAAAACTTAAAAGTGTCTAGTTTTTTTTTCCATTTACCCATGTTCATATTAAAATATTCTAGAAAGCCTGTTAGAATCTTGAATTCAAATGTGCCATCTGTGTGATATCCTGTTTTCTACTTGGTAGTTTCTATTTCAGTAGCTGAGAGCTTTTTTGAGTGTACACACACATACAATTGTTTATAACTTGAACCATTTTTGTGCTTCCATGTGCTGTACCTTCCCTATTTCAGGGTAGTGATCCAGCCCAGCAGAGCAGATGTGTGTGGGGTGGAGCAGGTCTTGTAATGAGCTGTTGTTAGGGTGAGTTGTTAATTCAGGAAACTGAGCTGTTGCTTCTACCAGTAAGCAGAGTTCAGCAGGAGATGAGAAGTGTTCAGTGTGTTAGACTTAGCATATACTGGAAAACGGGAAAGTTTTAAAGTGAAACACCTTTTCAGTTAACATGTAAGTCAGTGGGTCTCAACCTTCCTAATGCCACAACCCTTTAATGCAGTTCTGTGGGTCGTGACCCACAGGTTGAGAACCGCTGACGTAAGTAATAAGATTAGGTCATCTCTGGGTTTAGAGAGAGGCATCCATGGGACATGAAACTGAATTGTCTCTGATAATTGCTTCACAATGGGAGTTCTCTGTAGCTTGACTTACAAGCTTTGAAAATGCTGTTTGTGCAGAGCTTAAGTGGCACTGGAAATTGAAACCAGAGAACCAGGAATGCAGCTGGCAGAGTTGGGTGACGTTCACAATGGCGTGGGGGTGGTGAGGCAGGACACCTTCAAGCCCGTTAGTGCTCAGCTTTGCGCTGTGGTAGGCTGATGTTTTGTTTTTAAATTGTTGTGCACTTGGAATATACTATATATTATTAGGTGCTCTCAAGCTTGTCATTAGGTCTCCCAGTCCTGTGAGACAAGTGTTTTTCCTCTTGTTTATTAAAGAGAAACAGGAGCTCCAGAAGATAAGGTGACTTTTCCAGAGTCATAAGGCAAAGTAGCTATAAAGCAATCGAACATATGTCTTCTAATTTCAAATCTGGTTCTTTTTACATTGTTGGACAGTTTATAGAATCAGTTGCAACTAATGCTTTCCATTTTACCTCCATCTATCTCCCAAGCTCCCTCTTCAACACACACACAGTGAAAGCACCACACGTATGTGTAATGTTTTCTGTTTTACCTCCCCAGGCTCCCTCCTCAGCACACACACAGTGGAAGCACCACACGGAGGTGTAGCTGCTGTAGTAGCAGGAGTGCTCCATTTCCCTCGACTTGCCATCAGGGCATACTTGCCCTTCTGTTTCTCACTGCCTCCCTCAAGGTTTACCTCTCTCCTGGTCATAGATCCTTTGCTGTAGAGAACCCTGGCATCTTTCATAGGGAGCTAGATGAAGATCTTCATTTATCAACAAATATTAGGTGTCAGCAGTAGCCCTTGGGGATCAAGTGATAAACAAAACAGATACCATCCCTGCCTTCATGGAATTAGGCATTATAGAGGTACTTTTAGAATTGGAAAGCAGCACGGGGGTGTTACAAAGACAGTGCTGCTCACTATGTACAAATAGAAGGGGAGAGGGCATCAAGAAGGGTATATGAGGTCCCTGGTTTCCTGGGCAGCCTCTGGCCTTCTCAAGTCTGTTCTTCATTGACCTATGAAAAGTGTACTGGCTGTTGGAGCCACTAAGGCTTCTCTCCTCCCCTGAGCTCTTTAAGTCTTGGAGACTCAAGAATCTCTGCATGTACACAAATAGACAAATACATTTTGACAACTTAAAAGACTTGTGTTCATTTAGTCTGAACCCTCATTTTACGGCCAGGCCTGGTAATGGTTACCCTAGCATCACATAGGTAGCAGTGCATGGAATCCGGGTCGGGTGAAATGAGAGCCAGCACACTTGTCTGCCAGTTATATGAGCTACAGAATGTACTGGCTGCATGTTGCTTGAATACAAAGGTTGGCCAGCTGAGGTGAGAGTGGCTGCAAGAGGCGTAGGAATTCAAGAGAGGAGACTGGACATCAGAATGGTCAGAAAGTGATAGACTTTGGCATGGAAATACCATTATGTATCTTTAGACACCCAGGGTTTTCCAAAGAAAAACAGGGATGTACAAATTGGTAAAGCTGACAGCTGAATGTGTACAGATGCTGAGAAATGTCCACATTGAAAAATGACAACTTTGAATTTTCATAGTCTAATAGAATGCCAATCTTCTTTGGGGGACATGTTATTCTCATATCTGGAGTTGTTCTGTTGTGCAGAAATTCATACTTATGCCTGAAAATCAAATGTTGAAATAAGAAAGCTTCAGAAATTCTGTAGATGGACTATTTACAGAACATTTCATATTAATTTTATTCATACTCCTATGATGTTATTTTCTTATATTAAATGACTACTAAAGTAATTTCAATAACTATACTTTATAAACTATAGCTCTTTTCTAAAATTTGTCCTAAGAAACAAACTCTGATTGTTCTTGAGCAACCTTCAACCTAAGAAATTTACATACCGTATATCATGAACTCATTTGCATCAAACTTAGCACAGAAATAGAACACATTTAAACAATTTGGATTTCAAGGCTCAAGCATTTGTCTCCTCTGTAATAATAATATTTGAAATGTAGTCTTTCCTCTGATAAGATGGACCTTTTGGCATAAGCTCTTCTGCACAAATACTCCTGTTTGTAAACTTTAAAACCGATAGGCTTTCAGTGAGCCTGTCACTGATCGATGCATGTGGCATGTGTACTAGTGCCTTTCTTTTTTTTTTTTGTAGATACAAAGTCTTACTTTATGGCCGTTGGTAGAGTGTAGTGGCGCCACACAGCTCACAGCAACCTCCAACTCCTGGGCTTACGCGATTCTCTTGCCTCAGCCTCACAAGTAGCTGGGACTATAGGCACCCACCATGATGCCCAGCTATTTTTTGGTTGCAGTTTGGCCAGGGCCAGGTTTGAACCCACCACCCTCAGTATATGGGGCTGGCACCCTACTCACTGAGCCACAGGCGCTGCCCTGTACTAGTGCCTTTTAACTAAACTCTTATCTTATGTGCTTTGAAAATGGCTGAAACCAAAACTAGCCACAGGAATTTCCTGAAGAGCTCTGTGTGCCACCATACCAGGATGAACACTTGGAGTACAGTCCAAATGTGTCAGGGCAAGCCAGCCTATCCCTGTCTCAGTTCACCTTATCTGATCTTTTCTTAACTAAGCAGCTGCTAGAAGCTGGGAGTCCTTCCCTTCCACCACTAATAGTCTAATACTAGAGAACAAAAAACAGGAGTCTAGGGCAGCACCTGTGGCTCAGTGGGTAGGGCACCGGCCCCATATACCAAGGGTGGCAGGTTTGAACCCGGCCCCAGCCAAACTGCAACAAAAAAATAGCCGGGCGTTGTGGTGGGCGCCTGTAGTCCCAGCTACTCAGGAGGCTGAGGCAATAGAATCACCTAAGCCCAGGAGTTGGAGGTGCTATGAGCTGTGATGCCATGGCATTCTACCAAGGGTGATCAAGTGAGACTCTGTCTCTACAAAAAACAAAAAAAAGAATCTACTAGAAGATCATATCCGAGGACACCATACCCATGTCCTCTACTTGTAATACATACTCCATCCTGCCAAGGCAGGATGCAAGAAGCTGCCTTAGCACTTGGCCTCTTGCCTGCACTTCTTTGTCTTTTGTCTCATGTTTCCAGCCCTCTTCTGTCTTCTCCTACTGCACACAAACTCTGAGGCAGCCTTTCTGCTCCTTGAGTTTTGCCCTTTACCTTTCTAAAGAAGAGGAGACTTTGTTGCCCTATAGTCTTACTTCAGACAGAATCCCCAAACTATCTGGCTTAGTGCATAGTAATCTTTGGAATCCTCAAACTGGGTCTGGGGCTAGTTCATTATAGTCTCAGTCTCTTAGGGGGGAAGAGTTGGTCTTCCCCCTCATGCTTAGGTATAGCAGATACGTTTCAATAACCAGGAGGGAGGATCGCGGTCAGAGAACACTGGATTCAGCAAGCCAAGGAGAGCCAGAGGCTCCATATTACAGAAAGCAGTATGGTTTGGGGGTTTCTTTTTTCCTGTTTTTTTTTTTGTAACTATGGCCTTCTAAGTCTGAAAGTTCTGTCCATTGGTTGGGCTTTGCAGGATTTCACCCAGGGTTGCCACGTGCTTCCCTCAATGGAAGCATGTATACACCACGTATGTATAGACCGAGTGTGTAGCAGTGGAAGCAAACTAGAATTAGGTGTGACCGTTAGGCCTCTTGCCCACATTTACTTGAAAAAATGGAATTAGGGCTTCAAATTAAACTATCCACTTAATAACACTGAAGCTGAACATAAATGAAAAATCAATTGCTTTAAGGTTAAGAATGCAGTCATTGGGGTTGGTGCCTATAGCTCAACCGGCTAAGGCGCCAGCCACGTACACCTAAGGTGGCGGGTTCAAATCCCCAGCCCGAGCCCACCAAACAACAATGATGGCTGCAACCAAAAAATAGCCGGGCGTTGTGGCGGGCGCCTGTGGTCCCAGCTACTTGGGAGGTGGAGGCAGGAGACTCGCTTGAGCCCAGGAGTTGGAGGTTGCTGTGAGCTGTAATGCCACAGTGCTCTACCCAGGGGGACAGCTTGAGGCTCTGAAAAAAAAAAAAAAAAGAATGCAGTCATTGGAGCCAGACTCCTGGAGTTTCAATCCAAGCTCTGAAGCCATGCTGGATAGATGATCTAACTGCTGTGAGGCATAGGTATCTCACTTGTAAAATGGAATAGTACAATTTTGAGAAGTAAATGAGATAATGCACCTAAGAGAATAGTGCTTGGCAAACAATGCTCTTTCCAAAGATCTTTCTCTTCTCATCGGGACTTCAGGGGAAGTGACTTTAATAGTTTGTGAAACACATGTGGGCCTTAATTATTAGTGAAAACCTCTCTATTAAAAGCAAATTTTAATCTTGGGTACCCAGATTTCCTTTTACCTTGATGATGTGAATGTGTGCCTCATGCACCAGGAAAGGCGGTTTGCTCCCAGGTCCTCCTGTTTAGGGACGTCTTCAAAGGCCACGCCAACTGTGTAGTCCAAAAACTCATCCACCTCCACCTCCCAGTAATGGCGCCCTCGGACCATGATCAGATTTCCCATGACAGCAACACACCTGTGTTTAGAAAGGGGAAGCATGTATGACTTGGGGTCCCTCAGGCCTGGCTGTGCAGGTGAGTGATGCCGACTCCTAGGTCAGTCAGTGGGTGTCTGTGAACATGGAGGTAGGTGCTTCCGGACACCTTGCTTTTAAAGCACCCTTGGCTCCCAGAGCTCAGCTGGCTGCTGCTGCAGAGTAGAAGAGGGTCATTGCACTTGTGGTGATGGGGGAGGATGAGACACTAAGCCAAACCAGTAGAACAGCTTCTGTTTGCTCTTAAAAGTAATTGGAGGCTCGGCGCCTGTGGCTCAAATGGCTAAGGCACCAGCCACATAATCCTGAGCTGGGAGGTTCGAATCCAGCCTGGGCTCGCCAAACAACAATGATGGCTGCAACCAAAAAATAGCCAGGCGTTGTGGCAGGCACCTGTAATCCCAGCTACTTGGGAGACAGAGGCAGGAGAATCGCTTGAGCCCAGGACTTGGAGGTTGCTGTGAGCTGTGATGCCACAGCACTCTACCCAGGGCAACAGCTTCAGGCTCTGTCTCAAAAAAAAAAAGTGATTGGAGGCTTTATTTGAGACAGGGTCTCACTGTCACCCATGCTGGAGTGCAGTATTGCAGTCATAGGTGATTGTAACTTCAAACTCCTGAGCTTAACTGATCTTTGTGCCTCAGACACCCAAGACTACAGATGTGCAGCACCATATCCAGTTTTTTTTATTGTTTTTTTAGAGATAGGGTTTTACTATTTTGCCCAGGCTTAAGTGATCCTCCCACCTCAGCCTCCTAAAGTGCTGGGATTAAAGGTGTGAGCCACCACACCCAGCACTGGGGCTTTCATAGCAATAATAAAGCTTTGACTTATTTGTTCATAAGGAAAAGGATAGAAAACACACATAATATAGCACAATCGAGGACACCATGTGCTTGAAGTTCACAAACTGGCCTGTACTTGATTATTGTACAAAATGACATGGGGGGGTCTATGAGGTGACCCTGATGTTAGGGATGACTTCAGGTAGAGGATAAGAATTCAGGTGGTGCCTGTGGCTCAGTGGGTAGGGCCCCAGCCCCATATACTGAGGGTGGCAGGTTTGAACCCAGCCCTGGCTGAACTGCAACAAAAAAATAGCCGGGCGTTTTGGCAGGCACCTGTAGTCACAGCTACTCAGGAGGCTGAGGCAAGAGAATCACCTAAGCCCAGGAGGTTGCTGTGAGCTGTAACATCACAGCACTCTACAGAGAGCAATAAAGTGAGACTCTTGTCTCCTAAAAAAAAAAAAGGATTCAGAGGCCATTCCAAGATGAGCTAAACCCCTCACAAATAGCAAAGTCTACCTCCAAGCTTACTGACAAAGGTCAGAGTGATGTTTTGCTCTACAACAGTAAACTCAACAAAGGAAGGTTTTCATTTAAAATCAGATTACATCAGTATCTCCAAAAGTGAATGTTCTACTTCCTTCAGGAGACTCCTCTGTTAGCCAGCATTTACGTAGCCACCCCACCATCCCTAGAAGGATTTCTTCAGCTGTTGTAAAAAAAAATTCCTCTTTACTCTCAAAGCCCCAAGTTCTGCAAACCAAGCAAAGCTCTGGGAAGGAGACTGTCACCTATCAAATTAAGTCATCTCTACATCAAGCTCCACATCCACATTTCCATCTGTTGTGTTTTTTCCTGTGGTTTTATAACTTTATTTGATGTGTCTGAAAATCACCAGTTAGTTCTTGTCCATGTTGACTGTCTATAGGTTTTTGAAAGTGGTAACAGGTACATAGGTAACCAAGTAGAGCTTGTTTGGTGAATCTTCATCTCCATTACATTTTCTGGACAAGCACATAGGGATACCGCATGGGACGTTCCTTATGCCTTTGCCCAGACAGCTTTGTTTGAATGCACACACCTGGAGGTCCCCCCCCCCTCTTTCATGGCAAATTTCTGGATCTCTCTGAGTGCCCTAGGGGCTGCTTCTTGAAGCCCACTCCATGGATGCATTTGTGAATGTTGATGGTGCATTCTTACCATCTCGTTGATGGCAGAATGGCCCTATTTCTTCCCACCACCCTTCTTGGCAGGAGCCATTCTGCAGGCCCAAGTTGGAAAGCTCCATTTATTATTTCAACTTCAGTCACGTTCTCATCCTGCTCACTTACCAAAGTTTGTGTTTAAGGTTTTTTCCTTTGGAGTTGATAGACTCATTATGTACCCAGTGACCCAAGCCAGAAAACGAAGACAAGAAAACACAATAGCTACAAACTCAGCTTCTATTTCAGGCGTCCTCAAACTATGGCCCACAGGCCCACCGAGGACATTTTATCCGGCCTGCAGGGTGTTTTTGCCACCGCTGCCTGTCCTGCTTAGCAGCCAACTCATCCTGGGGCCCACAGTCCAGCCCTCCAACGGTCTGAGGAACAGTGAACTGGCCCCCTGTTTAAAATGTTTGAGGACGCTTGTTCTAGTTTCATTCCAGCTCCAACCCTTAATAGCATTATGCCCTTGAGCAAATTACTTCTCTGTACCTCTGTTTTTTATTTTTGTTTATTTGTGACACAGAGTCTCACTCTGTTGCCCAGGCTACAGTGCCGTGATATCATAACTGAAACTCCTGGGGTCAAGTGATTCTCTTGCTTCAGCTTCCCGAGGAGCTGGGACTACAGGCACCCATCATGATGCCCACCTAACTTTTCTATTTTTAGTAGAGACGGTGGGGGTGGTGTCTCACTCTAACTCAGGCTGCTCTTGAACCCTTGAGCTCAGGCAGTCCACTTGCCTTGGTCTCCCAGAGTGCTAGGGTTATAGGTGTGAGCCACCATACCTGGCCTGCCTCAGTTTCCTTATTTATGAAATGGGATTGATAAAAGTATGGACCTCACAGGATTGTGAAGGCTGAATGAGACAGTCCATGTAAGGAAACATATCTGGCACTTGGTAAGAACTGTGTAAATACAGCAATATTATGGTCCCTGACACATGCCTTTAAAAAAAAATTTTAGTATTCTAGTATTTATTTAGGAAGTTTTACACCTCAGTTGTTGGTTTTATGTGCTAAGTAGCTTTGAGTCCCTTGACTCCTCTCATCCATCCCACTGCTCAGTTAAGGCCTCCACAGTCTCCTCTCTGCTCTCATTTCCCATCTGCCTTTCCCTCTCCCCCAGCTCACATCGCAGAGCGCGCTGTGATCTTTCTGAAATATAAATTTGATCCGTTTCCCTGCTTCAAATCCTCCAATAATTGTTACCACCTTAAGAATAAAATCCATATTTTTTTTTGGTATGGGACCTTTTCTGTCTTTCCTAACTTTCCACCTCTTCCCATTACAGAGCCCATTCTATGGACATGATAAATTGCCTATACCAGGTGTCCTCAAACTACGGCCTGTGGGCCACATGCAGCCTGCCTAGGACATTTATCCAGCCCACCAGGTGTTTTTGCTGCTGCTGCCTGTCCTGCTTAGCAGCAGACTCGTCCCGGGGCCCGCAGTCCGGCCCTCCAACAGTCTGAGGGACAGTGAACTAGCCCCGTGTTTAAAAAGTTTGAGGATCACTGGATAACCTCCAAATGAGATCTTTCCCACTTCTTCCATCTGTACTCGTATAATGTACTTACCTGACTTTTTGGCTTGAAGAACTATTTTAATCCCTCCAAACCCGGCCTCTCCAAGAAGTCTTCATCCTGCGGGCCCCTCAATGCCCTGTGCATAAGTCTGCCTAACTGTGTACCTTCTCCATGTGCATCTCCCTAACCTGAAGATCTGACTCTTGGCGGGGCAGGGACTGTCTGTCTCTTCATCTTTTTACCCCCAGTGCACATCAGTGTTTCACAGGGTATTATAGTACATTTTAATATCCTGTTACCTGAGTATTTTGGTAACTCAATCTGGCTGGACCACAAAAAGCCAAGAACAAAATAATGGGTGTTAAGAACTCCTAGGGAGGGTAACTGGTGGGACCACACCTACAGTGCATTTCACAAGGGTACATGTTAAATCTACTAAGGGTAGAATATAAATATCTTAACAACAACTAAGAAAATGCAGTGAATACTATGTTAACCAGTTTGATGAAAGTATTTCAAAATGTATATAAAACTAGCACATTGTATCTCATAATTGCATTAATGTACACAGCTATGATTTAATAAATAAAAAATAAAAAAGAACTCCTGTACTGAGCCTCAGAACCCATAGCACAGTGGTTACAGCGCCAGCCACATGCACCAAGGCTGGCGGGTTCGAACTCGGTCTGAGCCTGCTAAACAATGACAACTACAACAACAAGAAAAATAGCTGGGTGTTGAGGTGGGCGCCTATAGTCCCAGGTACTTGGGAGGCTGAGACAAAAGAATTGCTTAAGCCCAAGAATTGGAGGTTGCTGTGAGCTGTGACGCCACAGCACCCTACTGAGGGTGACATCGTGAGATTCTGTCTCAAACAAACAAACAAACAAAACTGTACTGCAAGGTGAGATGCTAGACCACCTAAGCAGAACTTGCAGAGAAAGCCAAAAACTGTTTTTGCAACTTTTAATGCAACACCAAAGACCTGCAAATGCTTGAGGCTGTCCAGAAACTGCCTTATAATTCACACAAATGAACAGTGAAGTAGCAGTGGCCTGGTCCCGGTGGATGTTTCCCCAGGACCAGGTGTGACCAGAACCCACCATAAAAATTGTCTCCGTGTTGTTTTTCAGGAAATCCTGTCCAAGAGGGCTTCCTGTGAGGGTCGAGGAGACCTTGGCGAAAGAGGCTAGAGTTGTGTCAAGTACAGAGGTTGATGGGTTGTAAAGGGCCCCAGAGGGAGGTGGGCTGCCCGGGACCTGTGGTCACAGGGGCCTACTGCAAAGCCCATGAGAGAAAAAGTTAGCTTTTTTGTTTTGTTTTTGAGACAGAGTCTCACTCTGTTGCCCCAGGCTAGAGTGCAGTGGCATCAAAGCTCACAGCAACCTCAAATTCTTGGTCTCAAGCGATCCTCTTGCCTCAACCTCCCGAGTAGCTGAGCCTATAGGCACCCACCACAACACCTACCTAAGAAAAAGTCAGCTTTAAACATTGCTCTGGTGTCAGTCCTGCAAAACCTTTATTGCTTCTCATTCTTCTCTATATTCTCCAGCCCTGGGCTGAATGGGCAGAGGAGGGAAAGGATAAAATTGTTTTCCTCTGAGAAAAGAAAAGAACTTTTATTGACAAGTGCAAATCCTTTTAATTTCAGGCCCAGAGACATTAAAATGAGACATTAAAATCAGGCCCAGAGATCAACACACTCACAACCTACTCCCCATTGGAGGTATGTATTCGTCTCCTGAAACTGCTACTGCCACAAGGTGGTGTAAATTAGCCTAATAACTCCCCACCGGACTCTAATCCCCACCCTATAGTGTATAGGCAATCTCTAATCCACATTATTTCCTAGGCTAATGAGAATTCCTAACAAACAACTTTGTATTAGCCCACTCTCGGCCCCCACCCTTGGCCTTTAAAAATGCTTTCCTCACATAGCTGGGTGCTGTGGTGGGTGCTTGAGTCCCAGGCACGTGGGGGGCTGAGGCGGGAGGATTGTATGAGCCAGGAGTTTTGGGTTGCTATGAACTATGATGATACGGCACTCTACCCGGGGTGACAAAATGAGGCCCTGTCTCAAAAAAAAAAAAAAAAAAAAAGCTTTCCTCGAAGCTGCTAACTGGAATTTATATGCAGGGCAACTTGAATCTGTCTATACTCCTGGGTCACGTTCCTTAAGCTTGGCCCAAATAAACAATATTGATTTTGCCTGCACTTCCTCCCCTTAGGTCGACACCTTTGCACCCTGCAAACTCCTGCTTTTTCACACTAATGCAACACCTGAGGCAAGTACAAAGGCCAGCAGGAAGTCAGGCTCAGAGGAGCCAACTGAGGGACTGTCCAGCACCCAGACTGGGAAGCTGGATGCAATTTTCCAAAAAGCTGCTCTTCCAGCACTCGTGGGAGAGCCCCTTCCCTTCCTTAGAAGATGCTCTTTGACTCTAAAAGCAACCTACCAGGAACGCTTTTTGCCCTTTCTGTCCTACCAGGAAGCTGGACTGCCACATTAAATGTTTAATTCTGGAAATTTAATTAGCCTTTTAAGTTAACCTCTGTTCTTTTTTTCTCCTATTGTTTTTTGTTACTTTCTCCTCATTTGAACTGTTTTCTGAGTCTTCGGAAAGAAGGAATAAATCATTTCAATAGCTATCGTACCAACAGCCAGCCAGACAGCATCTTTGAGTTTCCGCCCGTCAGGTCACACGTCCGTGCAAACCTTTCCCGCTCACTTTAGGTCAGGCTCCCTTCATCGCCAGTTTTCATCAGGAGTTTAGGTACAAGGTACCACAGTGCAGGACAGAGCACTAGGTAAGAGCTCTGTCCCCGCAAGAGCAAGGTCCTGTTTCTGCTCTCCGGCTCCGTGGGGGACCCACCTGCTTCCCGCCGGCACCAGCCGGACCTCTGCCTCTCGCGCCCTCCCTCCACCGGCCGGCACCTCCTTATTCATTTCCGGGATTCCCCATGCACCCTCCCAGAGGCTGCACCCGGTGTGCTAACCGGATTTTACCGGAGGAAGACTGCGTATCAGGGAAGTAACAAAACCTCCTCCTGAGCGGTTGACAAAGTACCTGGTAAAGCGCGCGCTGCTGGGGAGTGGCTCCCTGGCAGTGGTCTGCCTTTCGCTTCTGACGACTGTAAACCCATCTTCAGAAATGGCCAGCCAGGGATGGCAGGTGTCCTCGTTGAGGTGAAAGTAGCTTCCTGTGGGGGAGGGAAAACAGGAAGCCCCCCTAGCCGATTACTTTCCTGCTCCCGGCGCTCCACCTAGGGCAGAGCTGTCCTGGGCGTGCAGCCTCCTCTAAGACACAGAGGACGCCACCCTGCTTTGAGCAGCCTCCTAGTGAAGAAGATGGCAAGTAACACGCAGGGCCAGAGCTTATGTGTCTGCTGCTGAGCTAAGCAGTCAGCAAGTCCCATCTGCTTAAATCCTCACAATTACCCTTAGAAACAGCTGTTACTATTTCTCTTTTGTAGATGAGGAAACTGAGGCACAGGGTAGTTAAGAAATCAGTTGCCTCGGCTCCGCGCCTGTGGCTCAAGTGGCTCGGGCGCCAGCCACATACACCCAAGGTGGTAGGTTTGAATCCAGCCCGGGCC